GGACATTGTTGAAGACTACGGCGATTGTGTGCCACTGCTACTGCTCATGGTTCTCCTCAATCACAAGAATGCGATTTGTTTCCACAACGTGCCAGGTATGGGAATTTCCAAATCACCTGACTCATTCTGCTGTTCCTATAAACGATTTTCATGTCACGTGTGGCTTATTGGACCCCGTGACCACATTCGTACATCATTAGCTAGACGTCTGTTCGAAATGCGTCCGTGTCGTTACGATGGTCAACAAACGTCACTCACTTCACCATTTTCGTTTTGGCCGCGTTATGATGAAGAAGTGGGGTGGATGGAGGAGGAGGAAAGTGGACTTGCCAACGGCCGTGCAAAGGGCACAGCCAATGCGACGATATGCAATGGGCGTGCGAGGAGCAGCAGCAAGGAGATCGGCATTAAGGCGAGTGTGTGGAATAAGAAAGCCATAAACATTCATGGCTCTGATCTCAAGCAGTGTGATGTGGGAAGGAAGAACATTCATCCTTGCGTCAAATCCTCCAAAGCATCAGGATTCGCACAGACAACAGTCCCAACGACATTATCTCACAGAAGCACCTCAAAACGAGTCCCCGAATTCGCCTCTCGCACTCCCTGGCTCGAGCGTCCGCGTAGCTCCAAGGTTCCAGTGAGTAGTTTGCGCATCAATCCAGCAACCGTTGGTGCTCCAAAATGCATGTCGAGGAAGCCATTACTATCCCTGCTGCCCGACCCGCCTCCACAGCCACAGCCGCAGCCACGGCCACGGCTACAGCCACAATTATGCACACACGCACAAGCACGCACTATCGCCAACAACATCTCCATGCGTAGCCCTCGCCATCTGCACCCATCCTCGAGCACAACAAATCACACGAAGTGCTGCGCCTCCACCCCCATCATCACTCTCCATTCGCACAAGCAAAAGTGTGCATCGCACACTGCCGCAAGCTGCTCAAGCAATGCCAATCCACAAAGCTCTCAACCACGCAATGCCTTTGTCAGGAGGATACACCACGTGTTCGACTTCGTCCACTTCCCCTTCGGCTGGAAATTCAAGAAGTTGCGAGACAAGCACGGCGGCATATTCTCACCACCACCACCACCACTGCAAAGCACCAAGCTGCCGCTTGAGAAGGTCGCATTCATGCATACCAAAATGCCTCTGACAAGGCCGCTCATCACAATCCAGTCATGTGATGGGAGGTGCTTTAAAATTGTGCACAGAGCCAAGCGATATGCCATGTGCAGCAATAACACTAATGATGAGACGAAATCCACGTCGTACGAAGAGGTGCTTTACCTCACGCCACGTGGTGGTAATGTCTTTGATGACTCGCTGGAAACAGTTAATTTCATTGCAAATTATGGCGGAGTGCGACTTCATTCACACCAAGTGGGACACGCGTGTGAAATTGTGTTGCGCTTCTCCTCTCTCCACTCACTTGCATCCCTACAGATCCCGCAGAGAGCAGCTTTGCGGTGTTACGAAAAGAAAAACTGCAGACCAATTGACAGTACACCACGGATTCTCCCTCATGACTCGGTGGTGAAACACACACCTGCTGCTCAGACCATGAGCAAAATTATGCCCGATACGATGTACAACCTGCTCTCGCCCTCTACAGAACAGGAATTTGAAATGCCCCCTGTCAGAATTGCTACACCTGCATCACCCTTCCTGTCAGATGACAATGTCTACTGCAAGGCACTTGGCAACCGCTGCCTGTTAGACCTCGCCTACTTTCTGTAATGCTGGAGATACAAGAAGTAACAGAGCATGAACGGCCTCATGCCCTCAGCGCCGCCAACACAAAGAACAGTTACCCGATGAGGAAGAAGCTTTTACCAGTGCCGATGAGAGACACATTGAATTGTGTCCAGAAACATACCATCAGCCATGTGAACCAGTACCGATGATGACGTGACTAATGTCGTGGAGACATCTGAAGGAGTGCTTTACTTTAATCGAGGTGAATGCAAGATCATCTGTCATTCTCTGCAGATGACCATTGAAGCCACAAGTGCCACCAAATTTCAAATCGCTTCATTGCGATTGGGACACGCATGTGAAATCGAGCATCACTTAGCGTCCTCCCACTGCTCATCTCCCTGAAGCTTGCACAGAGGGCAACTCTGAGACAGTATGAAGCAACGACCCACTGGGCAGTCGACAGAGCCCTACGCAATTTCCTCAATGAATCGGTGATCAGGTACACGCCACATGGTCAATTCAACGGCAAAGTGATGGCTCATGACTACTACAAACGGCCTACTCCCACAGCAGGATCGCACCGCATTAATCTGCATGTCAGACTACTGTCTACTCGAAGGCGTTTCTTCCAGAGTGCAGCGGTGACTTGAAATCGAAGGCGTAGCAAGTGGCCTCCTCACCACTAGTAAGAGAGACAAACAGACTCCACGTGGCACAATGGAGTGGATCCATAAACTGGATTATACAGGATGGTGTGGGCACTAAAACTGTTGAGTGGAGTGGGAACTGCAAGTCACTGCCACCAGGAAGGAAACGCATTTCTCTCTGCTCTCTTGAAGCTGCAGTCGAAGTAATAGGGAAAATTAGCAGCAAAATCCGTTGACCAAAAGCCGTTCGGCAGGAGTGGAAACGCCATTAAAAGCATTCTACATGTCTCTCTGGAAAACGCTATTACATGCAACCCTCTTGCTTCCTCGCTTCCCTTTATCCTTCCATACCCTAGAGCACTCGCCTTCACTAAGGGCTTGTATTATCTCAAAATTCCAATAAAATCCAACATAATACGGAACAGTCTGTGTCTTACTAGATCACGTTTTGTGCTATATTTGAAGTAGCGGAAACCTTATTAAAAAAGAGGAGAGTGGACAAGGAAAAGGCTTGCCAACATTTTGACTGCTGTTAACTTTCTTACCCTCCCTTTTGCAATCTTTTTCCAGGCCAACTGTCTACACTTCATACTGCAGG